AACGGATTGAGAAGAGAAGAAACGAGGAGAGGAGAGGAGAGACGAGACGAAATCGAAAAGAGCAGATCAGGGGTAAAAAAGAAAGGGAAATACAAGTATACAAAAACTAAAGATACCTTGTACAAGTTCTCTCAAAGGTGCCAGTCGATCAGGGTTGGGGCAGAGGCCTAGCTTACTGTCGAGAATCATGTGCTGTAGGACCATGAATCGGAGCAAATCGATGATCTTACCAACACATTTGGGCTTAGACGTCAAGCAATCAACACCTGCAACCTGAATACGAAAATTTATGAAACAGTGACTCATGGGTTATTCTCTCTATCAAAAAAATGACCTAGCAGATTTATCCAGTGAGCTACTAAAGGTTGGTATTTCTTGATAACAACTCAATAAAGAATATCGGGTATTTCATAATGAGAGTACGGCTGGTGTACGCTGCTCGCTAGCTCTCTAAGCCGCAGTGATGGTGGGTTACATCCCTGACAATTCTATCACACTTCAATAGGGCTGCTTAATTGTCGCTCTTCTGTAATTTGAAACGCTTTCTGCAGGCTTTTCCTTCGTCGTTAACCATTTCTAGGGTTTTACACTTTACCTTGTAGGTGTTACAGTAGATATCAATCAAGGTTTGGCTCTCGTCAGCATTTCGAATCGTGTTCGTGAAGACACGATCACACTTCGAAATTTCTTGGACCTCACACTGATTGTATGAGGTTGCGGTAACCGCAAAGACCTGACCAGCAAGAAGGCAAAGAATCATACACGCTGTTTTCTGAACCATCTTTCGTTAGAGTGTATAAGGTAGAACTGCTAATGTTTTCAGCGTTCAAGAGGCCTTTTTATAGACGTTTTCGTCGGGAAAGATATAGAAAATCAGGGATCCAAAAATCAGGGACTCATTTCAATAGATAGTATCTCTAGTCTCGCCGTTAATATACCATAAAAAATCTAATGAACGCCCTCTAACAAACACCTATCTAATTAACGCGCCGCCTTCTAGTCTCCAATTTTAGATTAAACGCCCCTCGCTAAAAAACGCCCAATATCTCATAAACGCACTTTTGAGCACTGTTTTTGGACACTTGGACATGAAACTAGATACGATATGATACGATATTCTAAGGTTGCGCACTTTTGTACAGCGTTTGCTGGTGGACACTTTTGGACATGAAACTAGATACGATATGATCTCGCTTCAGGCTTATTAAAATTAAGAATTAAGCAGCTTGTGACTAAAACAAAAAGTGAGAATACATTCAATCTTCTTTACCTAATCTGCGTCTGTTGCTTATCGATTGTGTATTAATTTTACAAAAGAAGGAAAGACGGAAAAATCGTGTAAGATGACCTAGTTTCAAATCCAAAAGTGTACACCAGCAAACGCTGTACAAAAGTTCGCAACCTTAGAATATCGTATCGACGTTTTACCCCCGTCTCTAGACCATAATCCTTTTCACACAGCTTTTGATCTGGAATCTGGAATCCAGTAATAGCAGTTGAATTTCAACTGAAGGAACTACCAACGTTTTGAATTATAGGTACTTTACTTTCACCTCTAACTGCAAGGAGTCTGNACTTTTTTACTGAAAAATACAACTCTCTGACGCCCAAACTACACGGCTCATCATACAGTTTTTCTGTATGAATRTCGTCACCAAATGAGGGTTAAAAATTGCATAATACACGCATGTTTACTTACCAAGTTCTTTCAAACCAGCAATCTTCATGCGATACTTTTCGTTGGCTGGAAAATTAAACAAAAAGAATTAAAKGGATGGATGGCTAGCTAGGAGAGGAGAACAGATTGAGAAGAGAAGAAACGAGGAGAGGAGAGGAGAGATGAGACGAAACCGAAAAGAGCAGATCAGGGGTAAAAAAGAAAGGGAAATACAAGTATACAAAAACTAAAGATACCTTGTACAAGTTCTCTCAAAGGTGCCAGTCGATCAGGGTTGGGGCAGAGGCCTAGTTTACTGTCGAGAGTCATGTGCTGTAGGAGCATGAATCGGCCCAAATCGATGATCTTACCAACACATTTGGGCTTAGACGTCAAGCAATCAACACCTGCAACCTGAATACGAAAATTAATGAAACAGTGACTTATGGGTTATTCTCTCTATCAAAAAATGACCTAGCAGATTTATCCAGTGAGTTACTAAAGGTTGGTAAGAAAGTCGGCTTGGTATTTCATGATAACAACTCAATAAAGAATATCGGGTATTTCATAATGAGAGTACGGCTGGTGTACGCTGCTCGCTAGCTCTCTAAGCCGCAGCGATGGTGGGTTACATCCCTGACAATTCTATCACACTTCAATAGGGCTGCTTAATTGTCGCTCTTCTGTAGTTTGAAACGTTTTCTGCAGGTTTTTCCATCGTTATCCATTTCTAGAGTTTTACGCTGTACCTTCTAAGAGTTACAGTAGATATCAATCAAGGTTTGGCTCTCGTCAGCATTTTGAATCGCGTTCGTGAAGATTCGATCACACTTCGAAATTTCTTGGACCTCACACTGGTTGTATGAGACTGCGCTAACCGCAAAGACCTGACCAGCAAGAAGGCAAAGAATCATACACGCTGTGTTGTGAACCATCTTTCGTTAGAGTGTAAAAGGTAGAACTGCTAATGTTTTCAGCGAAGCGTTCAAGAGGCCTTTTTATAGACGTTTTTGTCGGGAAAAATATAGAAAATCAGGGATCCGAAAATAGACTCATTTCAATCAAGAGAATATTAAGTAGGTACTTCATATTCTCTTGTTTCAATAGATTGGATCTCTAGTCTCGCCGTTAATATACCGTAAAATGATCTAATGAACGCCCTCTTTCTAACAAACACCTATCTAATTAACGCGCCCCCTTCTAGTCTCCAATTTTAGATTAAACGCCAATCTCTAAAAAACGCTCAATGTCTTATAAACACGCACTTTTGAGCACAGTTTTTGAAGACTTTTGGACATGAAACTAGATACGATATGATACGATGTTCTAAGGTTGCGCACTTTTGTACAGAGTTTGCCGGTGTATACTTTTGGATTTGAAACTAGGGCAGCCTGCACGATTTTTCCTTCTTTCCTTCTTTTGTAAAATTAATACACAAACGACAAGCAACAGACCCAAATTAGGTGAAGAAGATTGAATGTATTCTGACTTTTTATTTTAATCACAAGCTGCTTAATAAGCCTTTTCATAGTTTAAGAATCGATTCTACTGCGCATTCGATTTTATTCCGAATTTCTCACCTTCTTTTGTTTAATTAAGAACAAAAGAAGGTTTGGACAAAAGAAGGTGAGAAATTCGGGATAAAATCGCATGCGCAGTAGAATCGATTCTTAAACCATGAAAAGGCTTATTATCAACTTTAATAAGCCTGAAGCGAGATGACGTTTTACCCCCGTCTCTAGACCATCATCCTTTCCACACTGCTTTTGTTCTTTAATTATGACTATTGTTCCTGTATTCTCTAAGGAATCAAAAAATTCTAATATAAAAGAATTTTAAAAACTTTTATGGTATAGAGTTGGGGGTTAAACGTCATCTCGCTTCAGGCTTATTGGTTAATATTAAATGTCACGTCTTAACGCATCATGGATAGCGTGACTTGCACGGTAAAGAATCGGCTTATCTTGGCGATTAGCAGTTTATATCTGATATACGCACTGCTATTTCAAAAACAATTGGCAGAATAAAGGAAATTCCAATTTTCTTATACATTAATTTACACTTAAACCCCGCAATATATAAGCGCTCCAAGCGTTCAAAGCTAGCTCATCAAAAACCCTTACAAATGAATATAATTTAGCGTGTAAGATCTGGAAGTGCCTTGACAAGCTCGCGCAATTCTTTCCCTGCTGTTTTAACGTCTGTAACGAAATCCTTGTAGATTTTGTCATCACAAACGATGCCATTTTTAGATTCAAAACATTCGTAAAATTTTGAAATGGCGTCCCATTTTTTCACGCCATTTCTCATATCCTCGGCCAATCGTGACGCACAGAATAGATTCTTTTTGGCGGTGCATGGTTCGAACTTGTCTGCATCTGAAGTTAAGATAAAGTGCTTACAAGCCTTTGCACAATATTTTCAGAATTGATTCTTTAAATAGTGAATAGTTGATTGTGAAAATAATTCGTCATTTGAATGTCGGGTCTTCGAGATACGAAGGTTTATATTTCCAATATGTTAATGACTATGACGTAACATAAGGAATTTGAGTTATTTTGTGGCAACTTATAACATTGAACTCTGAACATTTTTTGAAAACAAATTTGTAAGAACCTTTACGTGTGTCACGAGTAAAAGGGTGATGCTTTTAAAATACTGTAATTCAGAACGAGTGCAGTGTTGTATATTAAATGATCCCTTATGTTACGTCATTGCTTTTTCAGTCGACGGACTGTTTTTGAATATTTTTGACATGAAATTGGGGGTAACGATTGTATTCCATCAAAATCTTGCTTTTCCCTGCTCATTGCCGAAATGACATCCTTTAACTAGAGGAAAAACATCACACTCGAAATTGTTTACAACACAAAACAAAATCGTGTATCTCAAGCATGCGCGTCTAGTTCTTTCGTGATGTAGTTTAAAGAGCTCTGAAAAGACTCCTTTCTTAGGTTTGTGCACTAGGGAAATCCAAATATAACTTGACGAAATTAAGCAGAAGATTCGGGACAAGAGGTTTTGCACTTTACAACATTTTTTACTCACCATGAATTGGCTGAGTATCGCTATTCATCACCACGAGTACACATGCAAGGATGTCAGTGGTTTTACTCACCAAGGTCTTTCAAACCAGTAATCTCCATGCGATAATTTTCGTTGGCTGGAAAATTTAAAGTGGAAGAACTGAATTAATGAATGGTTAACATATTAAGAAATTATAAGAAAAACTAGTGATATGAAGCTACTTTTCGAAGACATTTTGTTATCAATTGAAATGAAAAAAGTGAACATGAATACTGATAAATCAACAAGTCATGCATTAATGTTGGAGAAGAGGAGAGGATCAGAGGAGAGGAGAGGAGAGGAGAGGAGAGGAGAGAAGAGAAGAGAAGAGAAGAGAANCTGATCTAAGTCAGGGCATGGCCAGCTCAAAGATTGAACCCTGAAACAACCTCTGGGTTGATCTAAGTCAGGGCACGGCTAACTCACAGATTGAACCCTGATACAACCTCTGGGCTGATCTAAGTCAGGGAATGGCCAGCTCACAGATTGAACCCTTATACAACCTCTGGGCTGATCTAGCTCAGGTCATGGCTAACTCACAGATAGAACCCTGAAACAACCTCTGGGCTGATCTAAGTCAGGGCATGGCCAGCTCACAGATTGAACCCTGATACAACCTCTGGGCTGATCTAGCTCAGGTCATGGCTAACTCGCAGATAGAACCCTGAAACAACCTCTGGGCTGATCTAAGTCAGGGCATGGCCAGCTCACAGATTGAACCCTGAAACAACCTCTGGGCTGATCTAAGTCAGGGCATGGCTAACTCACAGATTGAACCCTGATACAACCTCTGGGCTGATCTAAGTCAGGGCATGGCTAACTCGCAGATAGAACCCTGAAACAACCTCTGGGCTGATCTAAGTCAGGGCATGGCCAGCTCACAGATTGAACCCTGATACAACCTCTGGGCTGGTCTAGCTCAGGTCATGGCTAACTCACAGATAGAACCCTGAAACAACCTCTGGGCTGATCTAAGTCAGGGCATGGCTAACTCACAGATTGAACCCTGATACAACCTCTGGGCTGATCTANGAACCCTGAAACAACCTCTGGGCTGATCTAAGTCAGGGCATGGCTAACTCACAGATTGAACCCTGATACAACCTCTGGGCTGATCTAGCTCAGGGCATGGCTAACTCGCAGATAGAACCCTGAAACAACCTCTGGGCTGATCTACTAAGTCAGGGTAAACATTACTCCCAGAAAAGGTCTATTTTTCATAAGTTGAGATCATTTYTTTACCCTTTTTTCTTCTGTGCTCAGGATTCTAACCAGGGATCTTCTCCTCGCACCTCCAATGTTGTCTTATCTTCACCTAAAACTGGTCTTTTCAAGAAATTGCGAGCGCGCAACACAGCAAAGAGTTTGAACCGTGGCTCACCTGGTGCAAGCCCTAATTCAAGTCCACAAGAAAGAGCTAGAAAAATCAGTAATCCGTCTTAGGATGGAGAAGATGAGAAGATAATAAAAAAGACTATCTAACTCTTTGTTGGTATGATAAGAGAGCAATAGGGCTTGGCTTTCTGGTTGATAGACCTAAAATCACAAGACAACAAGAGATGAAGAGGTTACAATAAATGACTGTAAGTGCTGCTTAAGCGACCCGATTAATTAACAGGCAAACTCTTCTATCTGTGAGCTGCACACTGAAATTTGGATTTCACTGCCGTCAATTAAATATAATCAGTCGGTAGCTTTCATAGTTCTGACTGGCGGCAGCGAAAAGCCAAATTTCAGGTGCAGCTCGCAGCTACCAAGTTTGCATGTTTATGAAAATGGCAGTAGATGAACACATCACCCAATAAATACCATTATTCTAATGCCAAAAGAAAGTATGCCATGGGCTGTGAGAAACCATTCATTTGTTCTAATCAGAGGTGAGTGGTCATCAAGAAGTAGACCTTGTTACTAACTTATATAGAGGATATTACATGGGCGCGCGGAGATGCGTAATTTATCTTCGAGTTTTGGAAAAGATCTCTCATGAGTGAGCGCAGCAAACGAGTGAGAGATTTTCAACACGAGAAGATAAATTTCGTATCTCCAAGCGCCCATGTAATATTCTGTTTATTATATAATTATCAATGAAGTATGTTTTGGCTTTTTCAGGCAATTCTTTCCTTGTATTTTTG